GTGGTAAGATTGATCCTGCCTGCCTGAAACCAAGGTGGAGGAGTCTGACACAGAGGAGTGGTGGGTTGCTGGGAACTTCAACACAGTGCTATGTAACAGGAAACAGACGTGGCAGACAGAACAGTAGAGAGGGGTCTTAAACCAGGCCCCATGGGACATTAATACTCAGCTGAAGCAAATGACACTTCACTACTTCATTTTATTTTCTTTCTTTTACTTAAAAAGTTAAAGTTTCTTTTCTTTTATTATTTTTTAAATTTATTATTATTTTTTTTTTATTATTACTAGAGGCCTGGTGCATGACATTTGTGCACTGGGGTGGAGGAGTCCCTCAGCCCGGCCTGAGCCCTCTCACAGTCCAGGACCCCTTGGAGGATGTCTGCTGGGAGCGAGCCAAAGCTAGCAGTCGGACATCCCCCAAGGGGGTCCTTAGCGCTGCTGTGGTGGCAGGAGGGGCTTCAGCCGCCATGGCAGCTGCGCTCACCAGCCATGAGCCCAGCTTCTGGCTAAGCGGCACTCCCCCTGTGGGAGTACACTGACCACCAGGGGGCAACTCCTGTGTTGAGAGTTTGCCCCTGGTGGTGAGTGCACACCATACCAACCGGTCTATTTGCATATTAGCCTTTTATTATATTGGAGTTTTTATTAACCTTTTATTTCTTTTGGATTAGTGCTCTACATTCTATTTTTATTTTTAAGCATTATTTTACTTTATCTCTTTTTTTCCTTTTTGCCAACATTTTCTTCCTCACTTCTCCTTTTCATCCTGTTTCTCTTCTCATGTCCTTGCTTTAGTTTTTCTTTTTACTCTTTATTAAAAACTGACCTTCTTTATCTGCTTTTTTGACGCATTACTATTATAGTAGTCTCTGTTGGCTTACTCATATATATAATTTCCTCTCTCCTGCTCCAAGTCCATGTACCCTTCTCTTTTTTCTTTCTGCAATAGCCATTTTTTTTTCTTCTTGTTGTTTTTTGTTGTTTGTTTTTGTTTTTATTCTATGCTTTTGTTTTTCCTCTCCTCCCTTGCTCTCTTCAACTAATTGCTTAGTTTCACTCACAAAACTCAGACCTATCTGCTCTCTATTCTATATTCTTCTTTTCCAAAAATAGATGAATTAAAGAAAGGGGAAATTTTCTTCTTATATATATACTTTATATTTTTTAAATTAATTTTTGTATTTTATTGAGTATTTTGTTTTTTACTTTTCCTCTTATACACTCATTCTCGTTCTACCTCCTCTATACTGAATCATAGCCATTCCCCCACATTCATTCAATTCCTTTACCTTACCTTCTGAAATAAGCTCTACCTCTTCAGATTCAGCTCCCCCCCCCCCTTTTTTTCTGGGTGTTTTTGGTTGCATTTTTTTTGGTTTATTTGTTGCTTTTGTGGAGTTTTCTCCCCATATATGTTATTTCCCCTTCTATTTTCTTCTCTTTTTTTCTCTCTTACCTTTTCCTTTTCTCAATATCATTTTTGCACTCTTTTCTCTCCCCTAATTCTCTTTTCTGTGGTGGGCATCTTTATTTGGGGTTAGAGCTGTCATGAATACATTCCTGTTTTGTTCCCTCTGTATCGTGTCTTGATGAGTTGTATTTTGTGCCTTTTGGTCAACATGGTAAAGAGTCAGACACATAACCAGACACCCTGAGAGGAGCAAAAATGGGTTGACAAAGAAAGGCTCACATACGAAAGAAAGGGAGGAATCACTAAAAAATAAATTAAATGAAATGGAGGCAAGCAATTTGTCAGAGAAAGAATTCAGAGCAATAGTGAAAAGGACGCTGAAAAGGATGGAAGACAAATTCAACAAGATGTGTAAGAATCAAGAGGAAATGAAAAAGAACCAAGAAGAAATGAAGAATGACATAGTTGCACACAATGGGAGAACTGAATGTTTACAACAGAGACCACATGGCCTGCAAAGTCAACATACTTGGCCCTTTTCAGGAAAACAAAAAAAAATGCTGATCCTTGCTAAAAAGTATAGAGAGAGCATTTTATGTTTGTCCTTGGGATTGGGAGTAGACCAGGAAAAGTGAGGTGAAAAAAGTAGGGTTAGCTTGAGTCATCAGGTTGAAGATAAGAGTGTGGGCTCACCAAAGTCTCATTTAAAGGGAAGATCTAATTATAGTTATATACTGCTTCACAATGGGAAATGTGTTGTTAGGAGATTTTATTGTTGTGCAAACATAGAGTATTTACACAAATCTAGATGGTACAGCCTACTACTATAATTGCACGTGCCCTACTTTTATATGATTGGCAATGAAGGTTTGTTTACACCACAAATGCATGAGCAATGCACAAGCGCTAACACATTACCATGGCTATGAAGTCACTAGGTAAAAGGAATTTTTCAGCTCCATTATAATCTTATGGGACCTCTGTTGTGTGTATGGTCCGTTAGCAACGAAAAAGTCATTATGTGGCACATGACTGTACTAAAAAATGGTCTTAACTATTACCCTATTATGCGACCCCTCCTCCCACCTTTGGAACCCCTCCAGTGTATGATCTAAAACTGTCAGTCACCAGCAAATTCCTCTATATATCCTTAACCTCTTCTTCAAACATTCCCTTTACCTTCATGCCCTAAGTGAGCATAAGTTCTCCCCTCAAGACCATTTCCTGAAATTTTCCTGTTGTCTAAAAGAGAGCTGTCTCAGGACTTGCAGGGAGAGAAATAAACATTAACTGATACAAGCCACTGAGACTTTGGCGTTGTCTGCTATGTAGCATGGGCAGCAATTACCAAGCCCTAAAACCTTTGGTATTGACTTTGAGATTAAGAAGGAAACACTTATTTCTGTGAGAAAGGCAGAAAACATCAAATGTTCTAGCAGAGATGCCTAGTTGACTTCACCCACAGAGCTGAGATATAAGCTGAGCTCTGGGGGTTATTTGCTATGCAACATTATTCCAGTAACAGTTGAGTAACTAAGGCCATTCGCTCCATTTGTCTACTAGATCCCATTCCCCTTTTTGCTCTTCAAGACACTGCTATAGTAATTTTTCTTGTCCTGAATAATCAGATTTACCTGTTCTACACGTTTATTCCCAAAATAAACCTATAATTTCAATTGGTCAGCAAATCCTATTGGCACTATCTTTGAAATATATCCAGAACTTGATTACTCTTTTTAATTCCCAAAGCCACCACCTACTCTCAGCCATCCTCATCTCTCACCTATTGGTCTCCCTGATTCCAGCCTTGCCCTGCTACAATTTACTCTTAACATAGTAGCTACAATAGTTTGATCATGTACTTCTCTGCTCAAATCCTTCTAATATATTTCCAGGACACTCAAAGTAAAAGTCAAAGTCGCAATCTGCCTGCCTCTCTCTTCACCCCTTATTCCTCTCCACTGTAACCCTCCTCCCCCACCCCAGATCATTCCCCTCTAGCCACACTGTCATCCTTGCTGGTCCTTGCACATATCAAGTCAGCTTCTACTGCAGAGGCTCTGCACTTGCTGTTCTCTCTACTTAGAATGCTCTTGCACCAGTTTCTTCAGGTCTTTGCTCCTATGATATCTCAGTGAATACCCCTAACCTTATTTTTGCTTCTTTTCTCTATAACACTTACCACATATAACCCATGATATATGTTACTGAACTGTTTATTCACTGTCTCCTCAGATAGAATGAAAACACAAAGACCTTAGGCATTTTTATCTATTTTCTTTCATAGCTATCTCCCTAGTTCCTGCAATAGTGCTTAGACACATAATAGACACTTAATGAGTATTTGTTGAATGAGTGAATTGGTCTGTAGGAAGAGAGTCAGGTCTAGTTTATATTCTACATTTCTAAGTTATAAACCAGGCACCTAGACTGGAAAGAAAATGCTGCAATGAGGACAAAGATGCATATAGTTTTAGTAAGATTTTTTTCTTACTTTAGTACTGTCTTTTTTCTTTTATCTCATCTACATCAAAGGAAATAATTCAAAGAAATAATGAGGACTAGAATTCAACATAATTATATTTAGAGCCCTGGACTTAAACTCTATTTTCAAAATTACAGTTCTTAAATATTTTAATATACTGCTTATTTTTACCACCATAGGAGATTTTTAACCCTAGGTTGTATATTTGCATGTTATATCAGCTTCCTAAGAAATGAATAAAATGTTCAATTGTAATTCCTGAAACTGAAAACAATTTACCCAGTAAGAACTAAGATTAATTTTCAGAAAAGCAGTGTATGAAGTTCAACTCTACCCTTCAACTGTCATTATTTTCTTTTAATTGTTAATCTTTCTCCAAACTAAAAAACATGTTTTTAATTAACTACTGCTTAAAGGCTCAAATATTACTAAAAATCACCATTTATCAAGCTATTTTAGAAGAGAAGAAAATTTTAAAAAGAGCTGACAATATTGGTAGATAAGCACAGTACAAGCAATCCTCGAATGAAAGTCTGTTTACTTACCAGGCAGACAACATATATCTATTAGCCATGAGAATAAATACAACATTAAATTAAAATGAGCCTTATCAGGTATATAAAATGAACCTAGCTAGTAGATATAGGTATAAAGTGTGATGCTTCAGTTAACCAAGATTAAATTTTCTTTACACCAGCACATTTTATAACAAGGCTATCCCAGAATTATTTTGCTAGGGGACCTCCTTTCAGCCCCCATCCCCAACACAGACTCAGTTAGAGAGGGGCCTGGAGGAATGAATCTATTCTTTATTTTAAATGTTGAAATGTCACCATCTACCAAGCCTTTGAAGGTTACTTTGATATCTTTTCTTTCCCCAAGGACCTCATTACTTGGATTTCCAAGAAGACAGTGCTGACAGAGACTAGCAACCTTATTAAAGACTTCCTTTTTTGTGGGAACTCAGCAAAGTAATCATAACATTTTCAAATTCAGTTAACAGTTATCTTTTAACATACTGATAATAAAGCTTTATATTCATTTGAAGTAAAGGTTTCCATTGTTTTGTAACTATAATGGTGACTTGAACTTTTCATTACTTACCAAGTCCTAAAAGATCAACAGTCGGCTCTGCAGCTTTTTTAGGGCTGGTGCTTTTTTTAGGTTCTAATTGCTGATCTTCTTTCTTCTGTAGCTTTAAAGTAAATAATCAGATGTATTAATTTTTCTTAAGCCAATCAAGCCTTTAAAACTCAATTATACAGATTTTGTATAAAGTTAGTGTAATAAAGCATATGAAGCATAGTGTAATGAAGCTTAGAACATTTATTATTGTATTAAAAAAACAAGTAAACATGATTATTGAGCTCACAGTGACAGACCTTACATATTAGTACCTCAAAATAGTGACTATATATATAAAAGCCAAGCGACCAGAATGGCGGAACAACCGGAATGACTGGTTGCTATGAGGTGCACTGCGGTGGCCAACCAGCCCAATGGGGGCCCTAATCAGCCCCCACAACTTCCCATGACTCCTCTCCCAGCCAGTTCAGCCCCCAATTGTCCCTCCCCCGATTGGGGGCAGGGCTGGCTGGCTGGCTGACCTCCCACAGCCCCCTGCCCCAAGCCGGCCTGGCCTGGCCCTGATCAGCCCCCATCGAGGCGGGCCAACTGTACCCTACTCATGCACGAATTTGTGCACCAGGCCTCTAGTATAAATATAATCTTAATGTAATTGTTCTTAACCATTTAAGACCTTCATGTGAAATAACACTTTTTAAAAATAATTTCTTTTGACATTTATTTGCTAGCTACTGTTAATGTGCACCTGTTAGCAGAAGTGGGGCAGGCCTGGAAGTCTTTATGAGTACATTTTACTCCCCTCACCTACACTGCTGAGCATTAGACCACTGCACCAAGGAAAGCCTAATGATAATGTTTTTCCCCTGAGTCTACACTATCAGTTACAATTTACATATACTATTCTTCTAATTCTCAGTAGCTCAAGTCACACTTACATATTCCAAACCATCTCTCTCTTTCATACAAAAAAAATGCTATGTAGGACTGGATAAAAACAACAACCCTGTATTTACTAGATATTCTTAACTCAAAAGTCTACCTCTCTATAACCAAGAAAATAAAACATTCACTCACTCATTCCTTTCTCAAACTATTCCTATAAGATCATTTCTTCTATAACTACATAAAGAATTCATAACTTAGTTGAGTTCACTTTTTGTTAACTATACAGATATATAATTTTTAAGAACACATATCTATCCATACTTTTTAATAACTACTGTCTCCGTCAGATTTAAGCAATCAGCCTACCATCACAGATATCAATTCTTTAATAACCTTCTGAAATAAGAAATTATCAGCCTTAACTATATATAATTTTCAGAAGTTTAACATAATATGCTTCACACTCTATACTTTTCAATCCTACCCAGTATAGATAAGTTTACTTGCTAAGCTAAATAATTTTAAAGAAAGCATCATTTATAGTAACAAAGTAATTATTTTCAACTGAACACTTAAGTTGCTAGAACAGCCTCTTCAGGCAACTTGTAGCATCTATCCACTTAACCCTATTCTCCATGATACAGCCATACAGAACACATGGCCTAATAAGTAGAGCATGACTCTCCCAGCAGACCACTAATTCACACCCAGCCCTCAATCACTTTCTTTTGTGCTATTATATTCATGGCAGTTGAGGAACTTATTTCAGATTTTTATTTTTATCCAATTTGTTGGTATGTTGTGTATAACATGTTCAGAGGATCTGATTCTGTCATGCAATGTCTTAACTAATCTTCATTGTTTGGTCATTTAAAAATTTGAACAAAATGACATTCATGTGCCCAGTTTATAAAAATGCTGAAAAGAACAAAGTCCAGGATTGAGCCCTGAAGAATGCAGCAAACTCCTTTGATATTGGTATCAATTCAATTAACTGTATTCTCTGGGTAAAGCTATCCATCCAGCTCACAATCCACCTAACAATCGAATCATCAGGCACACCTGTCTACATCTTAACCAGAGGATAGCTAAGAATCTTGACCATTAAGCTTAATCTGACAGGAGTTGTTCTTTGGGAACCCATGTAGGCAACTAGTAAGCAATGTTAACACTCTGAAAAAGAAGTCATTAAAAAAAAAATCCCATTTGAATTTTGCATAGAATTCATGTCAAGTTCAATGACACAATATTCAAAATCCACTTACATTTTCCTTCATAAAATTTGGACATTTGTCTATCTCTAAACTTCGGGTTCTCATCTTATTTTGTACAGTTTCTCAAAGAATGTTGGACACCAAATCACAGATCCAGGAAGCTCAGAGAATAGCAATCAGGATAAATGCTAAAAATAAACTACACCTAGTCATATAATTTTCAAACAACAGAAAAGAAAAAATCCTGAAAGAAGCGAAAGGAGGAAAACAGTTATCTACAGAGGAGTAAATATCAGAATTAGATTTAACTTCTTAGAAACCATGCAAGAAGAACCATACAAGCATTTCAAATGTTTAAAGTATTAAAAGGAAAAAACCTCACAAACCTAGCATTTTGTATCCTGCGAAATCATCTTTCAAAAGTAAAGGAAAAATAAAAACTTAGACAAAGAAAAACAGGGAATCTGTTGCCAGAAGACATGCCTTGCAAGAAAAGTTGAAAGTCTTTCAGAGTGAAAGAAAATGATACATATAGGTTAGAAACTCAGAACTACATAAAGAAAGTAAGAAATTAGAGAAAGAGTAAGTGAAGGTAAAATGAAATATATATTACAGCAGTGCTTTCCAAACTATAAATATAAAAAAACACTATAAACATTTGAGATTTTAATATTACTATTAAAATTTTAACTCTTCCTTCTCTCTTTCTTTACTATGCTTAGAACCTGGTGGTTTTATGTGTCATCATATCATCAGGTATAATGACCAAAACAAAGCCTTACCAAACACATGTGCACAGTATTATATTATGTCAACCTGTTTAATCAGACACCTTACATTATTTCAAAGTTTCCATTATAGCCAGGTAAGAAACTCTCTAGAAGTCATTAGCAATTTATTACTAGATTACAAGAAACATAATAAATAATTTCATCATTTCACTGCTTGCTTTAAGATAATACACTAAGTCTATAGTGAAAACAAATTCACAGAAACAACTCAATTCTCAAACACATAGGATGTTTTCTTGCATCCCCCCACCGGCCTGGTCACCTCTTACTGGCCCCCCTGCTGGCCTGGTCACCCCCAACTGCCCCCCCTCCCCCGCTGGTCTGGTCACCTCCAGCTGCCCTCTGGATGGCCTGGTTGCCCCTCACGGCCCCCCCACCGGCCTGGTCACTCCACGCAGCCTGCTGTTCAGTCTTTGGTCATCCCTCACTAACCCCCCTGCTGGCCTGGTCACCCCACGCAGCCTGCTGTTCAGTTGTTTGGTTCTCCCTCACTAACTCCCTGCTGGCCTGGTCATAGGCAGCCATCTTGTGAGGGCATGAGGGTTAATTTGCATATTACCTCTTTATTATATAGGATTAGCAAGATAACATTATATGATACTTAATATGTCTAAATTCATGTATTCTAGTAATGTGGTAATAAATCCATCCAAAGATATAATTTAATATTACCACACCCACACTACAATAACAACTTCCACTTATAGAGTTCACATGCACTAAACCCATGTTTTAATTTTTTACTTTTATTAGTTAACTGGAGGCCTGTTCCACGAAAAGATTCGTGCAAAAGGCCTTCCCTTACCCTGGCTGCCGGCACCGGTTTTCCTCCGGCACCCGGGACCCAGGCCTTCGCTCTGGCTGGAGCCGCCTTCACAGCCCTCGCTGCTCCGGCCGGAGCCGCCTTCAGTCTTTGCTCCACCACTTCGTGCCTATGTATTCAAATTAACTGCCATCTTTGTTGGCAGTTAATTTGCATATCTTGTTGATTAGCCAATGGGAGGCATAGCGAAGGTACGGTCAATTACCATGTTTGTCTATTATTAGATAGGATGATAAACTAAGAGTCACACTGGCATACAAGGATTTGGAGACTATGCTCTTTGAGTTAGTGCTATATTGTTACCACGGTTACTAACTACTATCACTACTGCCTCTACTATAAATACTACTACTATTAGCTCCCCTGCCCCCATCCATTAGTTTCCAACCTAACCTGGTCTCCTTTTCTCCTAAAGAATGGAAATTCTCTCTCTTTGGTACTTAGTTGTTGCTACTTCAGAATAATGCCATGCTATTTTCCAACACTTTACTTCCAGCTTTAAATCTTCTTTTTAAACTAGAGAAAGATAGGTAACTTCAAGTTCAGATCTTCTGGTTCTGCCAGAGAAATATGGGGCCATCAGCTTAGTGATGCTAGATAGGAAGGAGAGTGAGGAAAAACTTTGAAGACAACCGAACACATTATGTAAGTTATCAGACATTTTACCAACAACCAGATTATTGTGTATGAAAAATTACTGTTCAAATGTTGCAAAGTATTTCCTGTAGGGTTTGGGTAAGAACGAAAAGTCAAGTGATAAAGAAGGCTGCATTCATCATTGGATATGCACACTCACTGCTTGTTCTGAGTACATTGTTACCAACTAAAGACAACTATTAAAAGCCAATTATCCCTGGCAGAGATTCAGGTCAGGAGCTGTGGGGATTTGAGTCCTGACATCACTTACAAACTGAATAATTCACACTCAGCTCCCACTTCTTCCTCTGAATAATGAGGAGGTTAGACTAGATTGCTTACATCCTTATCAGCTCTGAAACATTAAAAGAATACAAATAAAATCTTGGCATGGCCCTAAATATCTCCCCTCTATAGAAATAATTGTGTGGGTATGGCTACTGTTGGGCCCCATCTAGGGTAAGCATATACATTTCCATACAGTCTATCAGTTACTGCACTGGAATCTTTAGTGCAAGAAAATAGCTTTCTAAATGACAAAGCCTATAGACATTCTAAGATATATCATTAAAAGACATAAATTAGTTTCACTAGCAGTACTATATTAATACTCTTAGATCTGCAAACATTTATTAATAATTCATTCACTAGGGCTTTTTTGCTATAATACCAACAGATAGTGCTTTTAAAAAATATCTTCTGGATTTTGGCTGCTTTCCAGTATTATATAAAGAGTACTAGAGGCCAGGTGAACGAAATT